GCTCGCGGACATTTTCTATCCGGGCGCTGATATCGGGAGCCTCACGAAGACCCTCTCGCGAACCCGACGGAATTCCTAGCGGAATTTCTGACGGAATTCCTTACGGATAGCAGCCTCACGGAAACCCTAGAGCCCGGACAAGGAACAATATTCTCGCTCGGAGGCCGCCGACTCGTTTACGCCCACTGCGAGCTAACATGCTAGGAAGTTACAGCTGCTCGTCTCCAGGCGATTCGCCTGCTCGCCTGTTGTTGAGCGTCTGGCAAGCTAAAAACCTGGCGACCATTATTTAGCTAGTAGGGCTGCTCATACGGTGTTGATCCTCGGGGATTACTGAGTGAGGCCGAACGTGAGCGAGTATCTTATTTTTCCTCGTACTCGACAATGACTAACGGTGTTGTTCTTGATGTAGCCGCCACTTTCGCTGTTGCCGCTACGCTCGCCCCTCGTGCCCGTCAGCGCTGGCTCCATCGCGAAAGGAACTTGCGAGAATAAGTGGCCACCAATAGGGGAAACGTCTCTCGGACTTATGCCGAAGTGCATGTCATTTAATCCTGAACTCCTGTGTATTTTCACGGTGTCGGGCTCAAACGGTCGATGGGCAGCTTTTACCGGAAAGACATCGGTGGAGCCGACCACATACTCCTCTACCGTACAAACAAACCGTTTATGAGGCTGCGACATCCTCCTGATACCAGTCTTGTGTAAGCAAAGCTATAGCAGCAAGAATACGGCGACGGTAGCGGACGTCTGAGTGAGGGTCGAAGGCTCGAGGCGCTCACAAGAGCGCGGAGCTCGGCAACAACGTGAAGAGGATTCCTTGTGGCAACGCAGGTCAGAGCCGCAGCTCCTATAGGAGTCAGACTTGCAAAACGTCGAGAGATTTTCGAATTTGAATATTCAGTCGAGGGGATCAAACAAACGATGAATTCTTGGAGAGGTGGCTATCAAAACGATGCTCGAAATGCTTCGGGGAATCGATCATCGAACCTTCAGTCGATCTAGACTCGTCTGGGTATTATAGCGTGAATTGCGAAACATCGAGACGGGTGCCGCCGTAAGAGCTCGATTCGAGACTAGGGGGACAACCGGTGTGCGACTCAATGCGAGACAGCTCGTTAAAAACAAAACTTACAAGAGATTCAGCGAGCAAGTTGCTTTTACAAGCAATAAAATCCGAACAGAAACAGAGCTGTGAATTTGCTCGCTCCCTTTGTTGTCGGTTGTTGGTTGTTGTGTGTCCGTTCGTTCGTCCGTCCGTCCAGCGGCGGACTCACGCTCGCTCGTTAGCTCTTCGGCTCATTGGTCGGTGTCCGGGTACGATAGGAGAAAGAAGCGAATGGAACAACTAGTACGGCCCCGGAAAAAGATCGACTCAACCCTCTTGCGCTCGTTGAGTCTCGTCAACGAGTCCACGCTCGGACCTTGTTCACGAGTCCACAGTCAAACCTCCAGAAGATTGGCAGGCTTATTCCACGGCTTACTCGGTTTTCCTCTCCACATCCGGATCCCCAGTCGACCGGCTCCTTAGTGAAGGGCGTAATAAAGCGCGTCCTTCACACTTCCTCCGAACAAACACTTACACTTCGAAGTCTGGACAAATACCGGACCAGAACGAAGCTCCGTCTGACCGCCAGAACGCCGAGGGTCTCGTCTGCTCCTTCAGTGTCGCCAATTTTCCCTCGGCTCTGCGTTCTGGTCTTCTACTCTTGTTCCTGTCCGTAGTTGCAGTTGCCTCTTCCTCGTTCAGTCACTCGCAAGCAAGCCCCCACGCTCTTCTCGAGTTCGGCAGCTGTTGTACATACTGTGCTAACAAGGGGGAGAAAGACGGAAGAAAAACACGCAGAACGCTAATTGGCAATTAAAAATGAAAATAGAGCGAGAGAGAGAAAACAAGAAACACTCGTGGAAGCCAGCTTGATGGTTTACTGTCCCCGTTGTGAGTCGAGTTACGGCGCCGCTTATTCTTTCCGAGTCAGCGGCCTGAGTACTATATGTATGTACACACAGGCCCTCGTGGACCGAGAGGTTCCGGCAACTACGAGCACATACTCACGAGCTATCATCGGATAAAACCCACTGTTCTCTTCTGAACGAATAAAACGCCATACATATCATCGGAGAATTCACAGCCTCGACCTGAACGATCCAATAAAGTACCTTGACGGGAAAGAGACGACTTCGACCTCTGATTGCAAAGAGGCGCTAAAGACAGGGAATCGAATCGGCACATCGAAGACTGTGGAAGGCAGTGCCCAAACCTTTGAACTCCCCATGTACATGACTTGGAGCCCCTTTAGCCCTCCCCGCCCCCCTTCTTCGGGCCTGAAATATTCCCATCGATGAGGATCAAGGTATCAGATTGAATCGTCCGGCATACTTGAGCCAATCTCAATGGGATCGCACTCCGGATCAGAATCCCTGCTCGGATCCGGCACGGAGCTTCTCCCGAAACTTCGAATCCGTCCACGATCCGGAGAGCCGGGAATCTCATTCCGGTTCTCTCCCTGCGTTCCACCGCTCCTCAGACCGAATAGACTCGAGCTGATTCCGCGCGAGCTCGAGATCCGTTTCGGAAGAGGGTCCCGCGGAAACGATCCGCGAGATCCGCCTCGTTCATGCCCCGCGTGATGGCTACAGAGGGGAATCGGAAGCCCCTCCGTTCCCCTCTGTGATCGGGGCTAAAGAAGGGGGCGCGGGACGATGGGCGATATTTCTGCGTTAATCAATGATTCGCCTCGGTCAGACTCTAGTGGAAATTTCCCCGTCCGAAGGGGCAGGAAGCGCACGCTCGGATGGCCTCGAACACGGGTCGAGCATTTGGTCGTCGTGGATGTCGCCACGGCTGCTTCCGCAGTTCAATAATGCGAAAGACGCGTAGAGTCTGCCACCGTCTGCCTTAACGAAGCAATCACAGATGCAGATGCGATGGCGGTCGATCGGTCGGTCGGCCGACCAAGCCCTTGGTTTGCAAGCTCGCGGCAAATTGGACCCGAACAGTGAAAAGCTCCCAGTCGTTATTTGGCCTGTCACATTCCTTATTCTTTCAGAGAGCGGGGAGCGAACGAGTTACGGAGGGGAACTTTCTTTCTCGCGACAAAAGAAAATAAGAGGAACAACGAGGGTTTCCAGCATCGAGATTGACGCGGTGCGACCCTTCGAGATTCGTGCAGCTCACTCAGTCGTCTTCAAAGTGTTTCTGTTAGAACGTGATCCTCAGCTCCGGGAAGAAAGGAGGAGGAAATTGATCCCATCAGAATCTCCCGCGTTCGGAACTCCTTGATCCGGTTATAGTCTCCCTTAATATTCGATTTCCCTGTTGCGCGGCGCACTCTCCCGGACGGAAGGCGGATATGAATTTATTCTCGCTTGTCATATACTCTGAAGATTCCAAAGAACTCTCATACGGAGCAAGCTGGAGATGAAGCAGAAGTTTCGAGTAAGAAGTGCGTCGGGATCCTCGAACGCTGAGAGTTTTCTCTCCGTCAGAACTTTCGATGCGCCAGGTCGTTGTGAGAACAGCGAGGCGACCGAGAATGGCGGGGGTGAGGCGTAGCCTGTTCTCGCATCGGGAAGGATTAAGAAAGTACCAGAGCGAGTGGAAAACTAAATCACGGAGCGGGGAGGGCTCGAGATCGAAAGTATCGAAGAGGAGGAACAGCAAGACTTAGTGACCCGGGAGACCCTCTGGTGCCACATGGTGAGGGGCCGTCAGATTCAGCCCGACTCGGAACCCACCTACAGTGTCCTAATCAAATCGTTTCAAGCTCCAGGGGTTTAAGCAGAATTACAGTCGCACCGCGTTCACCGTCCGCTCTCTTTCGGTCTCCCGTCATTCCTTTCTCTCTCTCTTCCTCTGTCTCCCCTCACCGGTCGGTTACCTCGGCACCGAACGCCGTTTTTTGCCGAGCCTCGTATTCGGAGCGATTCAACTTATGTACCACTCGACGGGTATCCCTGCCTGGAGCGAGGTCTTCAATCTCCTGGGAGTCTGTCTATTCAGCGTGACAGCTTTCGATCATAGCCTTGATTATCGTCGGCAAACTCTTTGTTTCTCCTAGTTATTCAGTCGCGGCATCATTCGCCTCACATCTATCGCAAGAGCTCGTCCGTGAGGGGAAATGTACAATAGTACTATCGGGTACAAAGGAATTAGCTCCTTCCTGGGGGGCTGCGCGTCCAACGTTCAGACGACGATTCCCTCGTGGGATTCTATTCTCCTCTCCGCGAACTGAGTGACTACTCAGGTGAATGGGGGGAGCCAGCGAGTCACATTTTGTTGAAACTCTTTGCCAAGCGCGGAAAAAAGGCCATAACGAAGTTTTCTCCACGGAGAATTCCTCGACGGAAACGAGACTTCAGACAGAATATCATTGTGTACACAGAGTGGCGCGGCAAGCCGACCGGGATTCTTATTATGTCTGCTGTCCCAGGATAACGACAAGGACGCAGGGGGTGAAGGAGACGAAGAGGCCACTTATCAATAAGTCGTTGTCGGGAGAGCAAGAAGTTCAGCGGCGTTCTTTTTCTCTTCGTTCTCCTGTCTTTCACGATCGACTGCTTCTTTCCCCCGAGCAAGCCCAGCCCCGATCGAACGAACGAAAGAGAGAGCAGCCCAGCGAGCGAGCGATTCGAGTAGTTGACTACTTCGCCGATGTCGTTGCAACACCCCCAGGGTCCAGCTGAAAACTACTGGATCGATTAAGGAACACATCCTGTTGGGTCTACGACAGCGGCTTTCGGGGACCTCCCTCGGGTATGGTTCCATTTCGACGCAGAATTCTCCGCTGGAACAGAACCGCCTCCGTCGTCGTAAACAACAATCGTTGAAAATCCAAGGACTCGGCCGGAACCTGGGGCCCTAATCCCTCTCGCTCCTATCGTTCTATGACGCCTCATTCGACCCACTCGGTGGGGATCTATTCTATGACGCCTCATTCGACCCACTTCGATGAGCGGAGCTATTGCTCCGCTCATCGAATCGAGAGAAGCCCTTGGAAATGTGGCAAAGATTCCTTATGGGTCAGTCAATTCCTCTGGCTCAGGCGGGACTTCCGCTCGCACCTTGGTCCGTTTCTGTGAGAGGACCCTCGGCTCGTTATTAGAAGCTTTCAGGCTTTCCGGGAGGTAAATGCAGCGTGTCACTTACGCTGTCATCGAACGTTGTTTCTGTGGGAAACTTTCCCAGCGCATTAGCACCCGCGTTCGGCTGACTCGCTGACTCGCTGCGGTGGGAGCTTCAGTAACTCCGTGCCTGCTTAAAGGGTCGACCGCAAGCCTTGCAAATCTGACATACGTCGAGCGTATCTTCATTCTAATTATATGCGGCATGGCTTTACCGCTCCCCGACGTGAGAGAAGAAGGGGCTACAGGCTGCGAGAAGGCGTAATCCTCTGTTACTTTTCTCTTATACTTTTCCGCGGCCACGGAACACACCTGTGATGGACATGAGCTTTTCCTGATCTCGGCTCCGTGCTCTCCGGTCAACCTTCTGTTGCCCATAAAGACAGCAGAATTACAAATTGAGTGAGCTCTGACCTTCCGGGTCGAGCGCAGTATTTCGATTGGGATAGGGTGTAAAGATTCCATGTGTTTTCCTTTACAGGCTTGCTGGCCAGGAGGCGGTCCTCAAAAGGGACATGTAAGGTGTTGGTGGTCACATTCCTTCTACTGTGCCAAACGTCACGTGCTACGCAGCCCAGCCCGAAGCTGATAGGTTAGTTCCATCCACGGTGGGAGAAATCCGAAATTTCCACGAGGCTCCCGCCATCCACGATTACACGTATCGAGTTCCCCGGATTCTGTGCGAGTTCCTGTGACGACCGCTCGACAAACATGTTTTCCTCTCTCGCTTGGAGAGTGCTCAAGAACATTGGAGAAGAAATGATGCGAAACCACCATTGCCAGAGGAGACGTAAAGTTCGGAATCAGCGCTGCTCGCTACAGAAAACAGAATGTTCAATGTATCACGAAAATGTCGGATCACGATATTCAGAGCAGGGATCCTCGGGAGTACGGATGCGAAAGCCTCGAACACGGGTCCGGTTGCTGACCTGGAGTCGAGGCCTCACCGGTAATGGAATTAGCTCATGTGTCCGTTTCCTACAGGGACTTCGGCGGGCGACGTCACGATAGGAGCTCTGTTTCCCGTTCATGAGGCTCCAGATTCGGAGAACGCACAGAGCAGAATCTGCGGCAGGATTCGCGAACAATACGGGATCCACCGAGTCGAGGCGGCATTTCAAGTGCTGGACGAGATTAACAATAATCAGGAACTCCTGCCAAACATTACGCTCGGTATCGAAATCAGAGATTCCTGTTGGTGAGTTTCCCCCGAATTTATTATAAGCAAGGGCGCATTGGTAACCTACAATCCTTCCGGGTTCATCTTCAGGGAGCGCTTATTCATTAGCGATACTACGTAAGTAACTCTTCGATACATACATGTTATCGCCCACAATCCCGCAATCCATCGGAGCGGGAATCTCCCAGTGCGATCCCTCGTCCTCCGAAGAGTCGATGAAAAACTCATATCGAAGTGGATGATGATTGATTCACTGAACTTCAACGCTTCGTTGCTGTTGCGAGCCGTTCTCTGCCGAGTTCGCTTCTCACCCAAGTTTCTAAAATGCTCCGTGAAAAAAATACCTCTCATAACTTCTGCGTTATGAAGCCTCACGCTTCATGGAGACCCACCCGCGCGAGAGCCACTTACAGAATGAGCAGTAAAGGCAGCGAAGCAGAAGGCTATGCAAAGGTTGCCTCTGCCTTCTGGAACGCACTCATTCGACGGCGCGTCATACGAGAGAGTGAAGCTTGCTCCGCGACGACTCGAGTCGGCTGCGGTTATCACAAGAGCCCTAACAGCTGTTGTGGCAGCTCTTGGTTCATGATGAGCGAGATCATAAATCTCGGTGGGGGCGATTTCATCGACATTGAACGCAAATTAGTATTCACGAGCATTCCCAGCAGTGGATCGATCTTCCTCGATTTCCCTGTCGTGTTCAGTAATCGTGTCACGCTTTCTCTTTCCCTCGCTAATGCTTTCCAGTATAACTTCTAATGCCGTTCGGTATCATTTCGCTGCGAGCGCGATGTGCTTTCGCAAGGAATGAATGAATAGATGAACTGACTGATTGATGTGCGCGTGCGTGATGCTGGTCCGCTCGCCCTTCGTTACGGTCTCGCGCAGCATAAGTCCGCCGGGCAGAGAGCTCCGCAGCGCTGGAATTTCCCTAGAGAAGCAGGAACTGATTATCCGGAAGTTGCCAAGTGACTTCCTTACCCCGTCAGCCGAACTCGTTCGTTAGGCTAGTTTCTGCTGAAACCTCCTCCCTGCTGCACTCGGTGCGATATTTCCGCCGGTCGTCGATCGAATTGTTCTGAAGTCCCAGGAGAATTACCCTGTGCTCGGCAGAGGCTGCATTTCATCTGCCTTCCGGTTGCTGTGTAGCACGCTCAAATCCTGGGAGTTGATCAATCGCCCGTCGAGGGAGAAGGAAATGCCTCTCGTAACAATAAGCCGGGGTGTTTTATGAGCTTTGGCTCGCCCGTATGATGAGCGCACTTCTCGGTCAGGAATGGGAGCGCAGATCGAACATTCTGTACATTCAAGTTGCAGCCGAGATGTTCGAACAGCTTCAGTCGAAATTCAGCTCGGCCTCCATCGTGGCTGAGTTGCTCCCTGTCTCGATCATTCCTTGTTGACTTGGACGGTCGAACTCGGTGCTCACGGCAGACACAAGCTCCCTTAAGGAAATTGAATCCACCGAATTCCAGTTCAGAACTTCTGCACATCGCTTCCGAAAGATTCCAGCTCGATCTTCTCGAGTCCAGCGAAGAGACGCTCATTCATCAACGGAGACTTCTCGAAAGGGATCTAAAAAGTGTGTTTCCTCCTTGTTTTCCTGCAGGTATCCGCCAAAAGCATTGGAACAGAGCATCGAATTCATTCGGGATACGATTGCGATGCGCGACGATGCGAATGGAACGTCGGGATTCAGTCCCAGCGGGGAAAAGTGTCATCGCGGCTCAAAAAACACAAAAAATATCGTCGGCATCATCGGGCCGGGCTCGTCAGCCGTGACCATCCAGGTTCAAAACTTGCTCCAACTTTTCAACATTCCCCAGATCGGCTACTCGGCGACGTCTCGCGAACTGAGTCGCAAGGATTTCTACAAATATTTCCTCCGAGTGGTTCCTTCCGACGAGTTTCAGTCGAAACTCATGGTAGATGTGTTGCTCAAATTAAACTGGTCGTACGTGATCACTGTGAACAGTGAAGGTGAGTTTCAGAACTTCTTCCTATGATGTAGTTTATTCTAGTTTCCGTCACGAGACTCCCCCTGTTGCATGCGATGTCGAGGTAGCGGGTCGTTGCGGTGACTAAACGCGTTAATGAAACCGGTGATCGAGTCTACGTGACCGTCTCGCGAGAAGCGCCTCATCCGACTAATTGTCTCCAATCGAACCCGCACTGGAGAAAAAAGCTCGGACCGTTGTCCCCCGACTCCTCCGAACCAAAGTCGTTCCGAGGAACAGGTCCGCACTGAGGTTTGCAGGTTTGGAAGGCTCGATGTCGAGAATTCGATGGGGTTCGGTCAGATGAGCGTGATCATCAATATCTGCTGGGTAATCCCGAGAAATGGGACCCTCATTGAATGGACGTGCCCCTTCAGTAGCGGCTCCGAGTAGAAATCTGGGGATTAAGTTGTCTCTGATCGTCGAGAGAGGGTCCAGGATATCCAGTTAGAAATAGCTATCCTCCCTCCTATCGGAGAGAGACATGCACCGTCGTTGTCGGGGAGACGATTGCCGGCTGGCGACGAATCGCGTACTTGGTAGAGTGCGAGGTCATTCAATCGACTCGGAGACTTGAATGGTCAGCGAGCGTGTAATTTCGTCGGAAGACAGTTCCTTCGCGGACGGGGGCTGTCTACGCGGAAGCGACGTAGGACAGCAACAGTCTCTTCGGGGCTTTGGTCGGCGGCTGCGACACCAGATTCGGCGGTGTCATTGGACACTTTATAGCGTTCGAGGCTACTCTGTCGTAAATTTCCATGACACCGAATGCGAGTTTAGCAGCTTACGCCAGCTGACTTTAGGCTTCTTATAGGTCGCTCGACCTAAGGGTCGGCGAGATCCCCGGACGGCTTTTGTTGCTCGAAGTAAGGGCTGCTGGTGTCTCTTGTGACACCGCTCTTTGCCCTGCGGACGCTGCGGCGAGGACATAATGTTGGCTGTGATTTCGTCCGGTGGCTGTCATAAAGTAATTCGGAATTTTCGCCTCTGCTTCCATCTGCGGAATCCTCTGTCACCTATGTCGTTGTCGGTCGCACCGGCGCGGGCGGCAGTGGGGTCGGCGACAGTCATCGCAAAGAGACGTAGCGGTGGCGAACGACTTTTCTCACCAAGGAGAAAAATACCCCCCTCTCAGAGCAGAGATGGTTTCGAACGAATGATCTTGCGAAGAATTAGAGGGCTCCGTTATTTGATATCAGCGGCCAGATTCCCTCGAGCTCGAGGGCTCTCGTAGCTAATATTCTCCGCCAACAGCGGGCTCGACGAGCGGGTCTTCTCCGAGGCATTTATGACTTGTGGACATACAGTGACTCGTGCGCAGTCGAGGTTGATGATGAAGAGTCGGGAGCGCTCGCTCTTTCGGGAAAACCTCACTCAGTAGAAATGGAGAGGGTCACCGGCGAACGAAGAAATAGGAGGACAGGTACATCCTGCGACAATTCTCCTGGCGGGATTGTTCGGACAGAGGGGTCAGTCGCAGCCGGTGGCGTTCGCTCTGAGTGAGTGAGGGGAGGGAATATCATCAGCGGCTTCGGGCAAGCATCCACTTCCTCTACGCAGCTTGTTAGTTTCGCATGACTTGGTCGCTGCTATGCGTCGACGAGGCACATTGACACGACGTTGTTTCGTTCTCTTCTAAACTATTCTCCCTCAGATGAGGGGGAAGTTCCGACGACTTCTGCACGCCGCCAGAGAGGAGCTGCATCGGGAGCGGCGCCCACGGGAAACGACCGAGCGGAGATCGACTTATTCTCAAACCGATTTTGGGCGAGTAGGCAAATTCACAAATCCACCGGCTCCTAGGATCTTCTGCTGCTCCGAGCGTCAACGCGCCCGAAATCAGGATCACCCACGTAACGCTCGGAATCGGCATTACCTTCAGCCTGAGGTGGAGAGTGTCTCGACAGGAGAGAATTCCGACAGTCCGGATTTCGCTCGTTCGCGCGGAGCTCTGCCCGCCACGCGGGGCGTGGTAGCGATTGCGCGGCATAAGAATCGAAACTCCCGGAAGATGGATTGCTGGGTTCCTTGGTCGACGGTCGCTCCAATCGAGAGGACGACGCTCAAGCGTAAGTCAGTCAGCCGGCTAGTCGTCCTCGACTCGTCCGAGAGGGAGCCGAGAGATGCGTCCTGCTCCGACTCAGCGCTCGCGTTCTGGGCTTTCATTGAGCAAAACGGAAACGGAGTCGAGCTTCGAAAGCTCTTCGCTTCTTGTTGCTCTGGATCGCTACGGGAAATGCGCTCCGAATCGAGAGGTGGTTCGCGCATCGCGGTCGTCGCGGTCGGTCCGTGGCCCGTTGCGTGTGATTTGCTCGTTTGGAAATCTCGATGAGCATTAACAAGAGACCAGCAACCGCCACGCCGTGTGACGTTCAGGAACTCGGAGCACGGCCATGACAAGCTGCCACACATCTCGCGCACGCATCCGTCCGGACACGTGCTGCATCTGGTGGATTTTCCGAAGACGCTCCCGGCGATGAGGCGTCCGCAGACTTTGCTCATGGGCCTTTCTTAGGATTCCTTGAACAATAAACGACACCCCGCATGCCAATCAGAGGACGCCGCCACCGCCATCTCACGATTTTCTATCTGAAGCCGAAGTTTTCGCTGCGAGACAATCTCGGCTTTCCGACTCTTATCGCCCGGGCGAGTGGCGAGGCGCCGGCCTCGCTCGGGAATCTCCGCCGGGGAAATAATTGCACGTCTCCGCGGGGAAAAAACCGAATATGCGATGTCCTGGGGACTCGGATCCCTCGTCTCCGGGCCTTCTTTATCGTCGGGTTACGCATCAGCCTCCTCAGTGATGATGCACCTCTTCTCGGTCTCATGCAATATCGACGTGCGGTGACAGACATTAAGTACACCAGCAACAACAACAACAACCGCGAGAGCGTCGACAATGTCGACAATGGAGATTCCTCCACGCTGTCCAAGGTCATCTACCTCCGCTGTGACAGTTATTTCTTTTGTGCTTCGCGCAGTCATCATGGGACTGACAGGAGAATTGGAATCACGAGGGATAAAATCTGAGGAATTATCATTCGCGGCCCGCCCGATCTGCGGACGGGCAGGCACGAGGAAACGATGAGAGGACCAGCGATGCCAAACTGTGGAATCATCTACGCAACAACGAACGAGCGAGGCTGGCCGAAGCGTCCGTGTGGAGCCAGGGGCTATGGCGAACTACAGAAGAGTAACGTGAACAGGAAACATCGCGGGAGCGAGAAGGGAACAGCGGATCGGCAGTCTGTGTGGTACGTGTCTCTACGCCCTCGGAACAAAACTCGACACTTGGGTCAAATCTGCACATTCGAGTATATGGATGTATGCCTCACACTTCCTGACAGTTCTTCAGCAGAAACAAACTCAAAGAAAAATCCAAACAAAGCCAATTTGCTGTTTGATTCGGGAACGAACATCACTTGCGGCAGTGCTTGCGGCAGCGCCGGCCCTCGCGTTATCCAACGCCAGTCCTCTATGCTCGAGTTTGGAGGGGGGGGGCGGGGATCTTGGGAAGTGCAACGGGGGCCAATGACATGGAGCGGACACTGGGATAGGAGAAGCTACCGAATCCGCAACGGCCAGAGCAACCGAAACAGGAGGAGCAGCAGCCGGAGCGGCGACGGTACGGAAGGAAGGAAGTGTACAGTCGAGAGGAATTGGTTGAAGAAAAAAGAAGAAGAAGAAAAGAAGCGTTGAGGTGGAAAGGCAACTGCGGAAATGAACACCACCCCGCTACTGGAAAACAAGCAGCAACTTTCTTCGCCGTGGACGACTGTCTGGTCCTCCTCGGTGTTTTGAGCGAAAGCTAGGTCCGACGCCCGACGGGAAAAAATCCCGACAAAAGCTCCGAAACAGGATACAAATGATTTCTTCTGTCGTTCGTCGGTATGAAACCCGAGTGAGCAGATGGACGAGCGGGCGAGCGATGGATAATCTCGTTTCTCTTTTCGGGCTCGGACCCTTCCCGAGTGCTTGTCTGATGGCGATTTCCGAACACGTTCCGGGACGGCACACGGATTTTCCGCGTCTCATGGGTGATAATATTCTTCGCCCACCATCCGGGTTTCCGTCGGAGTACAGCTAACCGAAAGGAGAGCCTGAGGCGTTTCGTTGAAGGTGTCGATCTTCACCGACCGTATATTGTCGGGACGTCATGCATCCTGCTCTGATATTCAACAGAAAGAGGAGAGGGACTCGCGACACAGGGCCTTGCCTCCTTCAGCTCAGAGCACTCTTCTCCGTCGGCGGTTTTGGCCCCCAGGAAAAACCGCGAACACAGGTCATTTTTCTTGTTTATCGTTTTCTTCAACAAGTAGTCTGGTCCGCTCCTGAAGTCGCGAGCGACTTTCTTCAGTTATCAGATTACGGGGGAATCTCGAAGGATATGCCTCGAGCGATCCCGCTCCGAGAGTGAATCTTCGCAACGCTGCGAATGTTTCTGCTTGAGTCCCCACACAAACGCATACACGGAGGAAAGTCGTCCCACAGTTTGTTGCTTTTTCTTTGCTCGGCCGCTCTTAATCTGCTTTTGTCGTCGGGCGGACACCCACGCTAGCCGAGACCATGACAACAGCGGCACGGGCGTTCTGGGGTGATTCAGTGTCTCGAAAACTGTCACACCGAGCGCGGCAGGGGAAGAAGTGCGGCAGAGAGAAACTTGCGTGACGGCTGCCGCCATCGGTACGGGGAAAGGAGTAGCGAGCTGGCTTATCTCACACCCACGTCAGGTT